TCTCTCTCTCTTTTGCTGTCGCGCTTTCTCTCTCCCGTCCTTTCTCTGTGTCGTCCCTCCTCATATGTAATTATTAATCCTTCCCCTGACCGCCCTCCCAGCATACTACAGATTTCTTTAGGATAGATCGTCCACAACCTGTCATAGATCCTTCTCTCTCTCTCTCTCTTTCCGTCTCCCTGTCTCTCTCTTTTTCCCTCTCTCCCTCTCTGGTTTCCCTCTCTCTGTCTGGACGCACTTTATATTACAGGAGGCCCCCGATGACGACAACGCGGAAGAAGCAGACGTCGAGGAGGACTGAGTCAGGTGTTTCCCAGCTTCGACCTAGTTGTGCGCTCAGCTGCACAAGACCAGGTTGCGTTTTGGAGGCTTTGGAGGCTCATCAATCAAGCTTCTTCTGTTGGGCTCTGGGGAGTGAAAAGCCTCACTGTGCAGACACAGCTTGGCTCTGGCCCGGTCTCTCGCCGAGCTTAGTGAGACGAGCTTAGGGTCTGCGACGGGCCAAAGAATAGAGGGCATCTCTTGGTGTGCTCGTGCTGCTGCACAAAGCCTCTTGCAATTCTCAGTGAGAGGTCGGACTCTGGCACGTTGTCATGCCTGCTGCATGTCTGTATTCCGACAGGTATACAGCTCAGTTTATGGTGTAGACAGCAGGTCATTGGTTGCACAGAGGAAGAATCGCAAGCTGCTCCTTCAGCCGTGCTTCCTAGGAATGCCACAGTCACACAATATTGACTTCTCTTTAAGTAGGGACCGAAGCTGTATGTTGGACCAGCTCTCAATCCCTCAGACTTCAGTTCAAAGTTAGGAACCCCTCGCGGGATGGTTTTGTGCTCTCAGAAGGGCCGCTGTGCTTTTGGCGGCTTTGTCTCGCGAGGCCTTGCAGGCTGGATATTTTGCCACTGAAAGGGGTAGGCATGGGCTCGGAATTCTGTGCACAGGCGAGCTTGGGAAACTCCTCAGCTGCGGGCTCTGAGGCCAGGCCGAATGGGGCGGTTTTGTGCTCTGGAGCAGAGTCAGAGTGGGCAGATACAATTTTGGGTTTGCCGGTGGCTCGGGGAGAGCCCTGGCCTGGATTTCAGGATTTGATGGTTCTGCTTCGACGACAGGGTTCTGCCTCGATCTGAATTAGTAGATTCTGCTTCGAAAGGTTCCGCTTGAACGGACCTCGCAGGGTATATTACCCGACTGAAAACGCCCAAGCAGAACCATACTAATGGAAAAGTCATTATCCGAGGATGCTTCGAGAAATGCTTGTCATTAGTAGATTCCACTTCGATGGTTCTGCATCGACGAACTCGCTGGGTATATTACCCGGACGAAAACGCTGAAGCAGAACCGCTAAGGACCTGTATTAGTAGAGGAGAGACCCAAGCAGAACCGCTACGAAGCAGAACCCTGCCCCTAATTAGGCGACCATGGACAAATGGCTCCAAGAGAAAATCAAAGGCCAGCTCGAGCCCCTCGGTTGCCATTGACCACAGCACCGGGGGTTTTCAACAGTTAATGGTTCTGCTTAGATACGTGGTGCCACGTCAAGCAGAACGTTCTGCTTCAACCATAATCATGGGTCATCTAAAAGTTCAGGTTCTCAAAGGCCCCCCAGTAGACCCTGGAAGACTGGATGGTTCTGCATCGTTTCATGATGCCAGATCAAGCAGAACCGTTCTGCTTCAGCCATAACTATGGGTTATCTAAAACTTCGGATGGTAGAACGCCCCCACGAGACCCTTCAGCAGTTGATGATTCTGCATCGTTTCATGCTGCCAGCTCAAGCAGAACCGTTCTGCTTCAGACAGAAGCAATGGTTTTTGACAACTTGAGATGATAAAAGGCCCCAGGAGACCCAGGGTCCAGAGATTCTGGGATTTTCAGAATTTGATGGTTCTGCTTCGGCTTATGATTGGTGCCAGAGAAATCAGAACCGCTCTGCCTCAACCAGAATCATCATGGTTCGAATTTTATCAAAAGTTGGACCGAGGCCTGCCGAGAAAGAGGAGATAGAGCGGCGAGAGAAGCAGTTCCGGGCCTTCTTGGATCTGATCGATGAAAAGGTCGCGAAAGGCCTCCCGTTGACGCGGAAACTTCCCACGATGGAGCCTGACGCCTGGGAGGCCTGATCCTGAAAGTGTTTTCTCTCTTGCGGCGAAGCCGCAGTGTCCATTTCAGGCTCTGCTTGATCAGCATCGAGTGGAAGCTGCAGCGGCGGGCTTGGTAATCCGCCCAAGGCACTTCGTGACGCCCTCCATTTTGGAGGATGTTCCGAGCAACGCTCTGGAGGATGCAGCTAGCCCTCAGTCGAGCTCTCCGGGCGGGTACTCGACAAGCCGGGCCTTCTACGTTAGGACAATGGACGGTATTCGGGGAGTGCTGTCTGTGAATGACGTAAGGGCCCCAGTGTTGCAGCTCAAACTCTGCTTGGGGTGGTTCATATTTTTTCTTGCACTTCTGTAGCCTGCAGCAGAGGTGCCAGATGCTCTCCAGCGAACCCGTGGGTACAGACTCTTGCTGAGAACGGACGAGGTATGGCCGCTTCTGAATCGAAATCAGGCCTTTGCGAACTGGTTTTGCAAGCTGAATTTCGGCTGCAATTATATCATTCGTGGATTTGTGTGGCTTTGCACGAGGCAGGGGCCGTTCTTTGCACACTGATAATCTCAGGAAGGACAACATCACTCACAAGTTGAGCGAGTCTTGGGCTGTCGAGTACAACAAGCACTTGATTAGGCCTAAGTTCTACAAAGGAACGAGATTGGAGGCGGAGGCGGAAACTTCCAGCATCAAGCTGTCGTACAACGGCATGTCGTTTCCAGGCTTTTTCTTTACCGTTGCTGGGCACCAGAAGTCAATGCTATGGCCATTCCCACGTTGTGTTTTGGAGCACAGAATCTTGTTTTGGAGCTGAGCTGCGAGGCTGCATCCATTTTGCAAATTCGGTCGTGCCGTCCAGAGCACCAGAAAGCCTGCCTGAAAGCCTTGGAGATGTTTGTGGCAAGCTTCTGCCCGCCGAACATGCAGATCTTCTTGCTGCCCGGGGTACAAGCTAGTGCCTCGCGCCAGATAGTGTCCCAAAGTCGCAGGTTCTTTATGCTTCCTCCTGTTTGTCCTAGGTGTGATTCAGTTCCACGGCCACGACGTGGACTTGGAGCAGTGGTCTCGACTCCTGGAGTTCTTTGGGTGGAAAGAAAGGCGCGGGTTGCCGCAATATTGTCGTTGCTCTGCCGGGCCTAGACACCTGCAACAGGTGGCAGAAGTGCAAGCTGCTTTCTCTGGCCGTGCAGAGGCTGAATGCAGGTCGGGTGTCCGTCCTTTTGGATTGTGCAAGCTGCCCAGTGTCTTTCAGGAGTGAAGGGGGCCCTCGCGGCCTGGTTTGTGCTGCGGATCCCGTTCCAGGATCTTGCTTGCCAGGACGGGAAGCTGAAAGAGCCGACACAGTTCCAGCCTGAATTCGACGCAGCTTTGTTGCGTGCAGGGACGTGTGGAGGCAGGTCGTTTGCAAAAACGCCTCATCCACAGCTTGTCGCAAGCTGCCGAGCTGCACACATCGGAGACCAAGCTTACGAGTCTCCCTTGCCCCGAGAAGTCTGACGAGTTTCATCCTATGAAGAGGATACTCGGATCACATTAGCCGAGTCTGAATAAGCAGGTTTCCGATGTTTGTTCGGAACTTGTCTCGTGTCCTCCTCTGTTTTTGTAGTGCCAAGGGATGGGAGGAGCCAGAGAGCTGATGTGAAAACGAAGAACATCTTTGCGCTGGAGAGATTCATGGGCAAGGCTGCAGGCTTCATGGGCACGTCAGATGACAAGACCTTGGAGGCATTGGGCTTAGGAGACATGCTCCTCTCCCATCAACACCGGTTCTTGGCCTGCTTATGGGCAATGGCAAGTAAGACTTGTCTCGTCTACCCTGCGAAAAATGAGCAGCTGCACGATGAAACTCAGGTTGTCGTGTGACTTCTTGTACCGCTACTGGACGAAAGGCTTTGGGGAGCTGCTGCAGGAATTTCGTTCGCAGCAACGGGGCGCCTTTTGGGATTTCAGGTTTTGTGTGTCTGTGTGTGTGTGTGTGTGGATAAAATCAGTCAGCAACCTGGCGAGGACATGGCCAAACAGACTTTCAAGTCCATCACGATCATGGCCGATGCCTCCCCTAAGGGCAAGCTGCATGTTTCTCGGACGAAATATATTGGACCTGAGGGTTCTCCCAGCATGACCTCATTTTTTTCATCTTGCCAGCCAGCAATAAGGTGTGGTGTGCAGTGCTTTTTGCAGGGAGAGTGGCTGTGCTCCCACCAGTGCAGCGGCTCTCCTACTTGTTGCCGTCCACTGCCAGCAGCGACAGCAAGTTGCAAGAGGCCCAGCGACTCGCTGACGACTTCGCCTCGAAAGCCGCAGAGACGAAGCAGGGTAACCAGAAAGTGCTTCATGATGGCATTCAGTATAGCCATATGCGAGTGCTTTGGCAGGCGATTTGTGGTGGCTCCCTGTGTCCTTGCTCCCAAGCTGAGGCCACGGGTGCTCAAGAGCATCAAGCAGAAGCGGCTGGCCGCTCGTGCAGAGCTGAAGGCCGTGCTCCACACGCTGTCCCTGGCAGGGCTGGAGCTGCAGAAACCAGACCATGTGTTGCGACCCGCACACTCTTCCAGCGGAGAGGTTCGGCTCTTGAAGGGCAACAGGCCTTTCTTGTGGAGCCCAACCACAGGAGATGGTCAATGGGACGTGGTGCTGGAATCGCAGCAGAGCAAGTTGCGGCTTGTTCTGAGTCCAGACGAAGGCGGCCCACTTTGGTCGGCATTCACGTGGATGGCCAACCAGGGGTACAAGATCAATTTCATCAGGGACGAGCTGTGACCTTTCTGCAGAGTCAAGCACTTTGGTGTGCCTCTTCATCTCAGTCGTTGGGCCTTTCTCTCGCTTCACTTCTCGCGGAATGTCTCTCTTTACTTTCACTGTCTATCTGCTTTGCCATTTCACCCAGTCCGTCGTCTGTCTCAGTGTCCCCTCCCTCCCTCCGTCCCTCCAGCCCTCCCTCCCTCCCTCCCTCCCTCCCTCCCTCTCTCCTTTGTCCTTGCCTGTCTGCTTGTCTGCAATCTCTCTCTGTCCCTCCCTCCCTCCATCCCTCCTTGCCTGCCTGCCTGTCTGCCAGTCTGCGGAATCTGGGTTTATTTTCTGCTGTCAAGAAATCAACATCCAAAATTAGCAGCAGAAGGAATCTGCTGTCCCGTCAATCCTTTGCTACCTCTTTTTCTCTCTCTCTCTCTCTATCTCTCTGTCTGTATTTTTTTTCTCTCTCTCTCTCTCTCTGTCCCTCTCCCGCTTTTCTTTCTCTCTCTCTGTCTGTCTCTGCCTTTCTCTCTCTCTCTCTCTCTCGCTTGCTCGCTCGCTCGCTCTCTCTCTCTCTCTCTGCACTCTCTCTATCTCTTTCTCTCTCTCTCTCTCTCTGTCTTTCCTTCTTTTTCCCTTCTCTCTCTCTATCTGTCCGTCTCTCTCTCTCTCTCTCTCTCTCTCCCTTGCTCTTGCTCAGCCGCTCTCCCTCTCTCTGCACGTCTCTCTCTCTCTCTCTCTCTCTCTCTCTCTCGCTCTCTCTCCCTTTCTCTGTCTCTCCTCCCTGTATCTCTGCCTCTGCCTCAGCTGGAGCAAAATATTAATATCTTTACCACCGTGCCTTCGTTTGTCGCTTTGTTTCTAAGCCATACGCTCCCGGCGCCACCTACTGCTCTGTTTGCCACCTATGCTGTAAGGCACAAACTGCAGAACTGCTA